CGTTTCCGCCAGAGCATCCAATTACAGATAAGCAATCAATTGTTCTGAACATCCATAAATCGGATGAGGGGGTTTACGCCAAAAATCGCAAGATCGTGTTCCACGATAATGGTGAAATAATCAATTACTTACCGAATGATGACGCTATTGGTATGGATCAAAAATTCGCTTATAAGAATCACCGTCTCGATGTTACCAAGATCCTCGCCTCTGCTAGAGCAACGACACTTGCAGAGCTCATGGCCTTAATGAAATTGGAAGATCAAAAATAACGTGAAAACTTAGAAGAATCCCTCTTGGGCTCATATTCTCCGAACTGGTGCGAAATTAATGATTACGTTCGACAAAAACAACGATCACATCTGAAGAAGAACGGAAACACCAAGGACCGACCCCGGAACCAGAAGATCAAAGTCAAAAAAGTTCATACTGAGGATCATTCGAAGCCAAATAAAAGAAATCGAAAACAAACCAGAATCGACACATCTAAGATCGATGGATTCTGTATCAGCTTCGTGAAACGGAGATCATGCAAATACGGCTCGAAATGCAAATTTATCCACTCAGACTATGTTCCAAGTCACATAAAGCAATTGATCAAAAACGAAGATTGAACAATTCCCTCAATTTCATCTCGAACTCGTATTCGACTCAAACCGCTCAATATTCTTCGACCATCGATCATCGAAGACCGACAATTTTCCAAATTCGACACATCGCAACAACTGTTAACTACTCGAGATGAAATGTAAAATGCGAAAAATATCTACCGTCAAATTTATCAAAAAGCTCAAAGCTCAACTCGCAATGAATCGCTCATGGAAGCCTTGATGGACTGCCAAGCAATCAATGTGTATTTGGACGACAATTTCATGTTCCGTTTCCGCTCAAAGAAGCTGCCGTCGACACCTCGGAACCGTTCATCAAAAGAGCTAATCGATACATGATGACACTTCATCCTGCTCTGCTCAACTTCCAAAACCAACAATATCAGAAGCTCCTAAAAAGAGACAAGAAAAATTGCCCTACGCTCGAGATCTACACATCTGTTATCTGCTGGAAACCAGATCTGTTCTCTGGAAAGTTACCTTGTCAAATGCCCGCTTACACCTGTGGCATACCAGCCTGACCCGACCGCTCTAACTAAAACGGCTGAAAATAAACAAAATTTGTTCTCAATGAAAATGAGGATCAAAAAGCGGAAGAAGATCAGCTCAATCAAGATCTTGCTCCAGCTCCTGCTCATAATGATACGAAAAGAAGATCAAAGTATCAGAAGCCCTCATAAAGATCAACATGAGCCTGTTGATAGAGATGATGCACTTCAAGTTCAAGCTCCGAAATAGAAACATCGCCTACGCTCACGACGATGTAAATCAAACCATTAAGCTCTTGCTCCTGCTCCTATTCACACTTGGTTACGAAGTTCGCTCGACATCTGTTTTTCGAAGTCCTGTTCTTAAGGTATACCTGAAGCTCGTTTATTGGATCAAAAACTTCGGCAATGTTTATGCACACTGGAATGGCTCACTTCAGAGCTCGAAGTAATCCCCGCTGATGATCAAAGGGAATCCAGTTCCGCTCATTTGCTGTGAAGAAGTTTCATACAGGCCTCTTTGGACTTGTGTTCTCATGACCCAGCTAATGTGTTTATCAATTGCGCACACGATGGACACCGCTTATCTGAACCTTGGCCCACTCCTCTAAAGATGTGAAGCAATGCGTGCAGTTGCTTTGTCACATTCAGATAATTCATAATCAAGTTACTCAAGGATGATTCTGCTCGCTCGAAGATTCATCTGCTCAAACGATCGAGATCAAGTTGTTCAAAGACGTTTCTGCTCGCTCATGGGACCGTCTGCTCAATTCATAATCAAAGACGATTATGACGTTCATGGGATCGTCTTCTCTAACAATCAAGCAACAATCAAGCTCACAAACGATTTTTACGCTCATGAAGTCGTCCTCTTAATCAAATAAGCTGATTCTTATCAAGTTGCTCATAGACGATTTTGATGCTTATTGAATTGTCCTCTCAATCAGCGAAGTTTATTCTTTTGAAGCTGCTCACCGACGATTTTGAAGCTCATTATGTTCAAGTTACTGGCGCCCTCTACTTGCACCGCTACTTTTAACCTTGCGCCGTTATTCCGCAGATGTTGGCAATGTGTGCAGTTGCCAAATCACCGTATTCGAAAAATGCTCTCTACGCATTCTCCCAGCTCAAATGGAACGATGCGAATGTCCTTATTCTAAAAGGGGGGAAAGAAGAAGAGGAAAGAGAAAACTGCTCGTTTGCTCACAAATGCTCAATTGCTCACTTGGTTTTCGAAAACTTCACGCTGCTCCGCAATCGAGAATCCAAATCAATGAAAATTGCTGTTCAAACAGGAAAAACAGCTCGACGCGCTGCAACGCTCGTAAATTTCCCGCGCCAGGACAAAAGGGGACCCGTCGTCACATCCCTATCTCCCCATCGTCGAAATGTAAGTGCCCCGACTGAAACAAGCCAAAGCCGAAAACGATCTAACTAAGAAGATACGAAGCTTTCAGATCAACCACGGGAGTCACAGTTCTTATAATCATCCCGTGTTTCAAATTGCAAGAAGAGAAAGTCCGGAAATTATTGAGATGAAAAGTGCTTAGATCCTTGAAGAAGACGTACACGCTGAAGAATGCCGACAAATCTTGAAACAGATATTTTCCACCTTCAGAGATGCTGCATAAAACGAAGATACCAACAATTCGCGCTGAATTTTGTCATGGGAATAAAAATACCGATTGTGGAAGAAATCAATTGTGAGAAAACTCTAGTAATCAGAGAGCTTCTCGAAGAAATTGAAGTATCTATCAAGAAAAAGACAAATTGGTTCCAAATCTTGACTCAAAAATCGCTCAATCTCAGCACGATCGACAGTAATCTGAAGTGTCTCCTCATCTTTTCCTGCAAAAGCCTCCTACTCACCGCTCAAGAAGGAAATCCTGAAACAAGAAATTGTATTGTCTCCGAATATGCAAGGAAATGGGCGAAACAAAGGTCTGCTTGGAAAAGACTTGAAAATATCGAAATAACCGATCTACGAATTCTGAAATCTTAGGTCACCTTCATAATACACGAAAACCTGAAACACCTTGGGTTAAGAGACTCACCAACAAACACCTCCGCTCGTTCAGAAATACAGTTCATCGAAAGAAAACTCAACAATCAACTACGTTCCGGTTGATCTTGCTCGATAGCCGCCCGTTGATGCTGACAACCTAATGGAAAACGATTCTTTCCAAACAATCACTGCTTATGGACAAAATTCACTCGATGAAATTATTGGCTATCAAACACAGGACATTCCTCTACCAGAAAGACAAACGATCTAAAAATAAATGGAGGAGGAATTATGTAGTGTTTCTCATTAGTCATCCGCCACTTGAGTTCACCGCGCCGCGCCGCGCGCAGTTTACGACCCGCGAAGCTCTATTCACGACTCGCGACGCGCCTTTTACCACGCGCAAACGCTCCGCCGCAAACCGCGAAAGCACAGTTCACCACGAACAAGGATCAACTCACGACTCACGAAAAAGTCACTCACCACGATCTAACAGCTCACCACGGTTTATGAAAACCATATATAAACGATCTTATTTCTCACTGACACAGTTCACACACATCACACACAACACTACTTTTTACTCAGAGACACCACAATAAAACTTGCTCTTTTTAACACAACGTTCGTCGCTCACTATTTGTATTCCCGCTCGCGAATACGATAAACGCAATTAGTTATCCAACTTATGTACTGTGAGAAACACGTACAGTGTTAAAGTATTGCAAAGATTTAAAATTGGACGCGCTAGAAATAGATGAAATTAAAACAAAGCTTAAAACTCAATTTCATTTTTTACGAAAAAGTTATTCTTCATCTAATGACGCTTAAGTCCTAAAGGATTTTCTTGCGAAACACCCCGATTACTAATTCATAAATGTAGATAAATTTGAAAATTTGCGATTTTGCTCATTAGAGTATTACAATAATAAATTTTTGGACATTCTCACAACAAATAATTATAAACAAATTACACATGATCACACAGAACTTAATTATTTTCGAATAAATAATATTATTAAAATGCTGAAACCATACATAAGTGATAAATTAGAAAAACAAATAAAACCAAATTTCAATAGCAGAATCGGCTTTCGCATAAGCAAAAAATTGAAAGAAAATAAACCCCTTCGATTAATTGTTAGCGGAAGAAATGCTATTTCATCAAATATAGAACAATTCTATCTTTTACCAATTCTTAAAAAGTTAGAAGGCTTCTGTAAATTTCAAATTCGAGACATTAAACAACTTAAAACTAATTTGACTAATATAAGAAATAAATTGAACCCAAAAATTCACTGTATTTACAGCCTAGATATCGTCAAAATGTACGACAATATCAATGTTTTCGAAGCAATTAATTTTATTTGTGATAAAATTTATGCATTTCCTAATAAGTTTTTTCATAAAAAAGATGATAATTATGATAACCCTAATTCTAACCCTGATTCAAACATACCACCAAGATCATTTTTTCAATCTATTTTGAAAGCAACCCTTACAGATTTTACAAGTTTTAAGACCCTTGTGGGAGACTTTCAACAAATACAAGGTATAAGCATGGGAGGGCAAATAAGTGGACTCATAGCGAATATTTATGCAGCGAAAGTTGAAAACCCTATTATTACTAAATTATTGAGAAATAATGATATTATTCTATAACAGACTCGTCGACGATTCAATAATTATTGGCACAAAGTCAAGTAAACTGAAACTTTTCGCGTCTTTAACCCTATGCGTGACGCGGGTGCATTCAGTGCACCCGCTCAAGGTTTTCTGTCCATTTCTCTTTCAATTTTCATCATCCATCAAATCCTCAGCTTCAAAAACCCTCGCTCCTATCCTCTCAGCACTTTTCTTCAGCAAATCTCTTACAGAATCTTCTGCAGCTGCTTGAATCTAATTCATGTACTTCAACACTCTCGGGAAAGAGTATTCTTCGATGAGTTCCTTTACAAGTTGACTGCCACGGACATTGGCGGCAATTTGAGCGTGAAGGTCGGCCAGGTTGTCGGATAGATTTTGTGTTCCGGTGCAGCCTGGGTGTTTTGCGGGCTCGTTGAGGTGGGCGATCAGGGCAGACTCTTGGAAGTCGCCAGCTGAGACGATTTTGAAGGACCTTAAAAGTAAGATCAGCAAATGCAACAATTGTTGCTCATAGCCATAAATCCAAAAATTTCATAACGATAATTTTTTTTCGAGATTTATGGTTCTTAGTTTGAACCATAAATTTTCTTAGGAAAAAAATCTTGACCAAGTTACTTTCCGAGTACCTAAAAATCGCGCCTTCTTCATTAATACTCGTCGACATTGGCGGCATAGAACCTGGAGTAAGCCCACCAATATCAGCATGGTGACCTCTGTTGGCAATGAAAAAGCTTGGCTTGTTATCTGAATCGATAAAAACTGGAGTAATGACCGTTAAATCTGGCAAATGACTTCCTCCTGCTTCGGAGTGGTTTGAAAGAATGACGTCTCCGGGGACGAGAGATTTTTGAACAGAAAGTTGAAATTGAACTGCTTGTTGCATCGCTCCCAAATGAACAGGAATGTGAGGAGCATTGGACACCAAGCCCCCGTCTAGGCCAAAAAGAGCGCAAGTAAATCAGCCGACAAAAATTTGAAATATAAAATTGAACATTCAACAAATAAATCTATTAATTTTCTGGACACTACAATTATATTTTCAAGTAAAACTAACCAATTAGAAATGGAACATTTCGAGAAAAAGTCTAAAAGTTCCGTTACAATGAATTACAAAACTTCCATAGCCCCTACAGCTCATAAACATAACACAATTTAAGGATTATGCAATAGAATTAGAAACGCATGCACAAATCAACATGATGAAAACAAAGGTCTTTCTAAACTGAAATCAAAATTAATCAAAAATAATTTCCCAAAACAATTTAAAAAAAATGAAATTGATAAATTTAAAAACAACTCCAATAAAACAAAAGATAATGATTTTGATTCCTCCTTATTTTTATCGCTAGATTTTACTTCTGAGAGATGTAATACAATACACAAAAACATACTTAAAATCTTCCAAACTCATCTCCCGCGATTCAAATTAACAATTAGTTGGCGATGCATCAGATTGAGTTCAATATTAACTCCCCTTACTAAACCTAAAAATGACCAGGAAAACCGAAAGGCGTGCATATACTCTTTCGTATGCGATTGCTCTCAAAACTATATCGGCCACACCAAGCGGCAATTGAACACTCGTATTTCAGAACATGGACAAAAAAGTCGAAAATCGGAATTCGGAGTCCATATTTTTAATTGCAATAATTACAAAAATAATCTTCTTTCTAATTTTGGTTCAATACCAACTCCTTCTCAACGTTTCCAGTACCTACGATCTCATTTCACTGTTCTTAAAGGCAATGTCTTCGATTATTTCAAACGAACTTTTATTGAATCATATCCATTTCTGCCAACCATCCTTAACCCGTTAACTGGGCAGTCAATATTAGGCGTTAACGGCCGCGAGGCCCTGAGACGGCCTCGCACATTTTGGCGTTTTCCGAGAAACACGGCTGAGGAAATTCATTTCTAAGAAGACGAGATGATTCACAAGCGTCTGCTCTTTCTTCTAAATGTTGTTTTTAAGTTTTTCTGATTCGTTCAGTGGTTGAAAACGGAGGTCAAAGTTACGTCACTTTTGGCGTTGAAACTCAGAAAAGGGAAAAGGGAGCGAATTGTATTACGCTTTCCCTTTTTTTCGAGGATTGAAGTTTTTCTTTCGCCTCCCATTGTCCGAATTTCAGGCCGATTCTTTTCCGGAATCAAACACACAGATAGAGAATCGATTGAAATTTTCAAAAATATAAAAATTTTTCATAAAAAAATTGAGTCTACGCCTTTTTATCGCGCTCAAAGGCGAAAAGGCCGTGAGAGGGCCTCGCGCCTGTTAACGGGTTAAACAGACAACGTCAACACCAATCAATAACAATAATATAGTCGGGCACTTTTTGAAAATGATCCGAAGCCCGAATATATTAATCATTTTCAAAAAATCTCTAGTTCAACATTTACTTTTTCAAAAATTCTCTAGACCAAATTCATTTCCCTTGAAATCTTTCATTTGAACTTCTGTTCGCTACTCTTTCTCAAAGTCTAGCCCTCAAAGGTAAATTTGTACTTCTTTTCGTATTCTTTACACTTTATTCTATTACTAAAGATGGATCTCAGCATCCGAAAGCTTTACTGAAATAAACAAAACCATACCAAATAATTAATCAATTTAATTATTAAAATTTATTCGTAATACTAACAATGCAAGTAGAATTTAAAGCTTGTCAAAAGCAGAAATTCTGAAATATACAGTATACGTAGGGGGTGCACAGTGGGAAAATCGGCAAATTTGAAAGTAGATGTATCTATATTGTAACCATACAAAAAGATTGGTTTTCATCTAAGGATCATTTAATTTCATTACAAGAAAACCCAAAAAGCACATTTTCACCCCAAAAATCACGTGACAAGGGCAGACAAAACATACTTTTGCCTGTAGAAAAAAAGTGCCAAAAGGTTACCTCGTAATTTTCTAGCAAATAAAAGAGCATATCAAGCGCTTTTAAGTGACTGTATACGGTACCTAGGGGGTGAATGCTGAAATAATGATCAAAATTTAAAGTTTTGTTAAAATTTCACAATCGGTTCAGCCTGATTGGATAAAAAAGAAGATGAGCAGGCTTCGACCTCGCGCCGTCTGCTACTAGTCCCAGAGCGATACCACTACGCTAAGAGATTATCATACCGTGATGATTCATACCGTATTAAGGCGAGTCTAAGATTTTGGAACCTAAGTGGAATCGATTTGTTGAGTCCCAAAGTCAATGATTTTGAAATAGAGCAATTGAGAACGACATGATATGTCAGAGTCATGATCTGCTACAAATTAAAATTGTAAAAACTTACGACAAGAAAATGCAATCTAACTGAAAAACCCGACATAAAAGCGGCTAGTCAAAGTTCAAGTGAGAGATCGAAAGTACAGAAAAATCTGAACGTAAAAGTAAAGGTCAACGATAAGAATTTTTTCTTTTTCCGATGAGGGGGAGGAGATGTAAGGGAGAATATCCCTTACAATAGTGTCTGAGTGGAGAGAGCAGTATCCTGTTCTCAGTAACAGAGACTTTCCCGGTGTTTGGTCGCCGGAGGGCGCTAATTGAGTGAAAATGCTAGGCAAGAATTGCTCTTGCCCGTAGCAAATGCCTGTGATCATTTCTGGTTACTTCCGGTAACTTCCGGTTCACTTCCGGTGACGTCAGGTGACATCATTGCTATAAGTGTACATCCATTCATATACCTTACAAGAGCATAACTGAGCTAATGCTCACTTGAAACAGCGCCACATGGTGCATGCTCTCGCGCCCCATCTAGCGTCAGCTCTCGCGCCCCACCTAGTGGACACTCAGGAATAGCTCTCTAGTGACCTCTAGTGGTTGCTCAGTTGCGCCACCTATGGTGAGCACAAAGCTTGAGATCTCATCCTGATTCATCAGTGACTAAGGATCGACTTCATTGGATGAAGGTCCTGGAACATTCTGGACACCCTTACTCACTATGACTCACGATTACGAAGGATGACATCATTTGGAGAATCTACTCGAATATTCCATCACTGTTCTTAGAAGCTTGAAGATTCATCTATCCCGATCAAGGAGCTTCTCGACTGTTCTTATTTTCCCTTTTCTGTACTATATAAAGCGTGCACCTTGCTGTTAGTTCATTGATTATAAATTATAATTTATAATTCAGTAGAATAAAACCGACATAAACAACTTGACTCTCTTTTATCCAGCAGACACCAGCAGAACCCGAAGAAACCGACAGCAAGTGCAGCACCAACCACTAGGACTCATAGAGTACTAGTGGACTAGAGAGACCCCCCAGAGATTCTTCTGCTTTATAACTGAATATGTTACGAATGTAACGAAAGTAACAATAATTCAAAAACACGTCTTTTTCTCGTTGCAAATGTAACAATTGTGAGTAAAATTCTAGAGATTTTTTTTGTTATTCTAATCTCATCATCATTTTTACTCATTAAAAGCGGGTATGAAAAACAAAGATTTTTGAAAAGTGTCCCAAGAAAACCCCTTAAAATAGCAAAAATGTCCAAAAATTGGATGTCCAAAAATTCCATAAAAAACTGTACCATTTCTATGCTTTGCTGTACTATTTTTGCCCTTCTTGACATCTTTAATTTTTGTAAAAAATGACGCTCCAAAAAATCGCTTTTTAGAAAAAAATTCTAGAATCAGCTGATTAAAAACAACATGTCTCTGTTTTCGTTACATTGTCAGCAAAGTCGTTACATTCGTTACATACCGATGATTTTTGATGATTGCCCCGAAAACTAAAGCCCGAATAAGCGACAGTGTCGCTGCGACACCATGCGAGCATTCGTCATTTTCGACAGCTGGAGCTTCCATTTGTGCCACTAGTAATGGAAGTTCCAGCTCTTTTATTCGAAAAATGGTCAAAAGAGGGCGCAATGAAATTCTTAGCAGGAAGCGCATCTTTGGTCCTGATACCCTGCTGAGAAATGGGTCGAAGAAATTTTTTCGTGATAAAAAAAATCAAGATAAATTGGTAAGAACGACATTTTTTGCAATAAAAAAACTGCAGAAGGATAGTTCAAGAAATGAGATTCAGCGCTGAGCAGCAAACGTTCGATGATTTGACTATTTTTGCCTTGTTAAAATTAGTTTGAGAGAGTTCACAAAAAAAAAAGTGATCAAGCTTTCCAACAATTGATATGACTAGACAAGACTGGAACAAAAATTTAAAGTCGATCGAGGTTTTATTGAATTTGAATGTTTTTGGCAGGGCGGAAATCGCTTATAAAGGGAGTCAGAGTCAGTCAGGTGTTTCAGAGTTGGGAAATAAATCAGTTGTTTATGATTGCAATCGTCGATTCGTCACGTCGATAACTGTAATCGGGTCAGCGCACATTAAAATAGGGCAGAATAAAGGGTTCTGTACAAGTCAGATCAAAATAAGTAAGAAATATGTAAAAAATTACTAAAATTTTACAGAAGTCGAAATAACTTATGTCAGTGGCGAGTGAAGGATAAATATGTAAAATATTACTTAAATTTTACAAAAGTCGAAGTTACGTATGTCCGTGGCGAGTGAGTAACAAATATGTAAAATATTACTAAAATTTTACAAATATCTCTATGAGTGTCTAAGTGGCGCAGAAGTAAGATATTTGTAAAAAATTACTAAAATTTTACAAAAGTCGAGATAACTAATATCCGTGGCGAATGAGTAACAAATATGTAAAATATTACTAAAATTTTACAAAGTATTCACATGGTGGCTGGCTTGAAAAGATTTTATTTTGTCGGCTTGTCCAGTCGTGTCAACGGTGACTTGGCGGCGGGTTCTTTAGATGGAAGATTCGGAGCGGCTTGACTTATTCAAACGAAGTGAGCGGGGTCGATTATGAGGTTTCCACTTGACGTTGTTTTGAGGAACGGGTACTTTTCTCTTGCTTTCGCTGTGATT